GTGCTTTGAACCATTCCCGACTCATGGTGCCTGCTGTCTCTACGTCAGCACTAGTTCTCCCCTGGGGCCCTCACTCTGCATCCTATTCCCCCAGGAACTTCATGCTACCCTCTGATCAGTTCAGGGGGCACCTCCATACAGGGGATAGGCCTGTTCCCACACACCACCCCACCACCCCAGCCAACTTTGGTCCATTCCATGGATCGAATTGTGTCTATCCTCAAACTCACGTGCTGAAGCAGCCCTAACCCCTACTGTGCCAGTTTTGGGAATGGTGCCTTTGGGAGGTGATCAGGTTTAGGTGAGGCCTGGGGGGTAGGCCCTCATGATGGGATTAGTGTCCTTATAAGAAAAGACACCAGAGTCATCTCTCTCTCTCCCTGCTTTTTGCCATGTGAGGACACATCTGCTCCAGGAAGGTGGCTGTCTGCAAGCCAGGAAGAGGGCTCTGCTCAGACCCTGACCACACTGGTACCCTGATCTCAGACTTCCGGCCTCCAGGGCTATGAGAAATGAATTTCTGTTAAAACCACATGAGCATTTTCTCATGTGCTTGCTGGCCATGTATATGTCTTTTTTTGGTGAAATTTCTGTTCATGTCTTTTGCCCATTTCATGATTGTATCGTTTGTTTCTTTGCTGTTGAGTTTAATAAGTTCTTTATAGATCTTGGAAACTAGCCCTTTATCTGATACGTCATTTGCAAATATCTTCTCCCATTCTGTAGGTTGTCTTTTAATTTTGTTGACTGTTTCTATGCTGTGCAGAGGCTTTTTACCTTGATGAAGTCCCAATAATTCATTTTTGCTTTTGTTTTCCTTGCCTTCATGGATGTATCTTGCATGAAGTTGCTGTGGCCAAGTTCAAAAAGGGTGTTGCCTGTGTTCTTTTCTAGAATTTTGATGGATTCTTGTCTCATATTTAGATCTTTCATCCATTTTGAGTTTATCTTTGTGTATGGTGTAAGAGAATGGCCTGGTTTCATTCTTCTGCACGTGGCTGTCCAGTTTTCCCAGCACCATTTATTGAAGAGACTGTGCTTTTCCCAGTGGATAGTCTTTCCTTCTTTGTCAAATATTAGTTGACCATAGAGCTGAGGACCCATTTCTGGATCACTTGCCATCAGGGAAATACAAATCAAAATCACAATGAGATACCGCCTCACACCAGTGAGGATGGGGAAAATTAACAAGACAGGAAACAACAAATGTTGGAGAGAATGTGGAGAAAGGGGAGCCCTCTTGCCTGTTGGTGGGAATGTGAACTGGTGCAGCCACTCTGGAAAACTGTGTGGAGGTTCCTCAAAGAGTTAAAAATAGACCTGCCCTACGTCCCAGCAATTGCACTGCTGGGGATTTACCCCAAAGATACAGATGCAGTGAAACGCCGGGACACCTGCACCCCAATGTTCATAGCAGCAATGTCTACCATAGCCAAACTGTGGAAGGAGCCTCGGTGTCCATCGAAAGATGAATGGATAAAGAAGATGTGGTTTATGCATACAATGGAATATTACTCAGCCATTAGAAATGACAAATACCCACCATTTGCTTCAACGTGGATGGAACTGGAAGGTATTATGCTGAGTGAAGTAAGTCAATCGGAGAAGGTCAAACATTATATGGTCTCATTCATTTGGGGAATATAAATAATAGTGAAAGGGAATAAAGGGGAAAGGAGAGAAAATGAGTGGGAATTATCAGTGAGGGTGACAAGATATGAGAGACACCTAACTCTGGGAAACAAACAAGGGGTGGTGGAAGGGGAGGTGGGCGGGGGGATGGGGTGACTGGGTGAAAGGCACTGAGAGGGGCACTTGATGGGATGAGCACTGGGTGTTTGTTATACTATATGTTGGCAAATAGAACTCCAATAAAAAAAAAAAAAAACACATGAGCTACGACAGCCTGGTACTCCAGGCTACTCCAGAGTTTCTCTGCTGCTAGAAATTCTCCTATTTCTGAGCACAGAGATTTTCCATAAGGTCCAAGAATAAAAAAGATTTAATAAGAAATTCCTGCTCTGCCATATGTCATCTGAATCCTGACATCTGCTCAATCTCTGAGAGCATTTGTTTCCTTAACGGAGGACGACATCTGCCTTGTGAAGTCGTGCAAGCCAGCCCGATGACATGCAAGAGGCAGCCAGCTGGCCACAGAGGTGCGTTGATTCTACTGACCTTGACTCCAAAGGGAAGATGAACGCCTTCACACTGAGGTATCATTTCCCACAGATTCCTTACTGCCCTCTTCAGGGAGTGCAGCCTTTGGGCTCCCCAAGGACACCTTTTCAGGACAAGAGCCTTCCTGGAGAAGCAGCTCTCCTGCCTCCAGAACCCCTCTGGGTTTCCAGGCTGGCTGGTCTTCAGAGGGTGCCCCTCAGCAGCTTATAGCTCTGCTAAACTCTTCTCCCTCTTGAAATGCCATCAACATGACACCAGGCTAGGTCTCTGGCCCTCAGTGCTGGGGAATCACACCCACTCTTACAGTTCACTGAGACATTTCCAGACTGAGAGGCAGACAGTCCTGTGGCATCTGCTGGTGGGAAGACCCGCCGGGGAGGGCCCCTTGGTCACAGGACTTGCCTCCAGGGAGCTGAGGGGGAAACAGCATAGCAGCTGGGCCGCCTTGTTGCACCCCTTCCCACAGCTACTGTCCCGACTGTTCCGGTCACGGTCCTGTCAGGGCTCACTGCTCACAAAGATGGCACGGTTCTCTATCTGTGTAGCATGGTGGGCAGCGGGAACTTGACTGTGTGCTATGTCTTCGGAGGACTTTGGCAATGCCCTCGGTCCCTCTGAGTGAATGATTGTGTGCAGGTCTACAATTTCTGACTTTATGCAAATCGCTAAGCCTTTCTGAGCTTCATACTCCTTTTCTGTAGAATGGAGATACCAATGTCTTTATCTTTTGGGATTGTTACTATGGTCAATAAAATGATGTGTGTGAAAATCACTTATTCAGTAGATATTTATTGAAAGCCTAATATGGGCTAAGTCCTAGTCCAGACACCTGGGACACAAATAACAACCTGCCCTCAAGAGGCAAGTATGGGAAAAGTGAGAGGGACAAAAGGACCTTGCATGGTGGCCAGGGGTAAGTGCTTTGAGGGAGAATCCAGGGGGTCTGCAGAAAGTGCCATGGTGAAGGGCTACTGTGTTAAACAGGTGGTTTGGGAAAAGGTCTCCCTAAAAAGGTGAGTAAACTCCTGGGGGAAGTAAGGGGTGAGCATGAGAATATCATGGAAGAGCAGTGCAAAGGCCCTGAGGTGGGTAGAAGCATGACCGGAAGCTTGAGGAAGAGACAGGGGCCATGGTGGTTAGAGTGGAGGAGGTTAGGGGAAGGAGGAGGGCAATCAGGCCAGAGCAGGCCACTGAGGTTGATGGCTGTTACTCTGAAGTTGATGAGAAGCCAAAGGAAGATTTTGTGCAGGAGAGCAACATGATTTAGAGGTTCCTTCTGATGATATGCTGAGAATAGACTGTGGACAGCAGTGGGTGAAGCAGAGGGCCAGTGAGGTTGTCACTGCAGTAATCCAGGGAAGGAACAGAGGTGGCTTGGGTCAGGGGGTGGCAGTGGAAATGGTGGGAATGGGTCCCATCCTGGCTATATCCTGAAGGTAGAGCCAGCAGGACTGGCAGGTGGATTCAATGTGGAAGACAAAATAAAAAGAAGAGTCACAAATGATGTCCCAAGTTTTGGCCTAAGCAACTAGGAGAGTGGGATTTTACATTTAGCCAGGGGATGCTCCAAGCAGGAATGGATTTGGAGTGAAAATCAAGACTTTGGCTTTGGATGAATTAAGTTTGAGATGACAGCTATTTCTGTGGAGCAGTTTATTTAAGCACTTGGATATATGGGTGTTGAGTTCAGACGAGAGGCCTAGGCTGCAGGTCGATGTTGGGGGTTGTCAGTTTATAGATGTCAAAGGTGCATCTAAAATCTCAAGACAGGATGACACGATGCAGACAGTGGGCACAGATGGGGGGATCTGAGGACACACAGCCATGTGCCCCACACTCAGAGCTGGAGATTCGGGTGGAACCCAGTCAGGGAAGCCTAGAAGGAGTGTCTGGTGAATGTGCAGAGGACCAAGAGTGAGCCGTGTCTGAGAAATCAGGGAGGAATGCGGTCCAAGAAGGAAGGGGAGGGCCAGTTGTGCCCAAAGCTTGCAAGGAGTTAAGTGGTGTGGGAAAGAATTACCACTGACTTAAACAACAAGGAGGGCAGTAGATCTTGACAGAGTGACAATGGTGGCAGGAAGCAAGCTAGGTACTGATGGGGTTGAGAGAGACTAGAAGCGGAGGGAGTGAGCAGGGTTAACTCTCCTGAGGAGTCCACTGCAATGGAGAGCCGGCAACCTGCTTCCCAGCAGCCCCCCTCGTAAGAGGATGTCATTATCAGATGACAGGGGTGCAGCTGAGCCTGCCAGAGATGGGACTGAAGCTCGGCAGAGCCAGGAGGGCTGCGTTGGGAGCCAGGCTGTGTGGCTTCCTGAGGACAGAGGGAGGGAAAGACATAGGCCAGAGCCATGGGATCCAGCAGAAGGTGACTGGGCTCTGTGTTGGCTCCCGGTGCCCCCGTAAGCTTCCTGGCCTGTGGGCAGTTTGGGCCCTGAGGTTCTCAGGCCTACAGGGCCTGTGACTGGCCCTGTGAGGGGGGGGTGGGCTGTGACGGCTCCCAGAGAGGCAAGTGCACCTGGTCCCAGGACCCTGCCCGTGGCTAAAGGGCTAACACTGCTCTTTGACATCAACACACAATGGATCAGAGTACAGAGGCGTACAACCATCTCCAGGGTGTGAAAAGCCTCCTGCCCAGCATCACCTCTTTGGAGAACCTCACTGTAGCCTGACTATTAATATTTGTGTGAAGAAACTACATCTTGCAAGGGAAGGCGGCAAAATGGAGCCAGAAACAAGAGAATCACCAGGAGTCCTGGCCATGCTCACCCCTAATCTGAAAAAACTGAGCATGAATAAGGTCAACGGAGACTAAATCTCACCTGTGACAGTGATGTTCAGGGCTCCGCTGCAGGCGAGGCCGTGGCCGTTGTCGGCCGTGCAGTAGTAGCGCCCCATGTGGCTCTCCCCGACAGCAGGGATCTCCAGCTCTGCTCTCTGGGAACGCTGCTGCTTCCTCCCCAGATGCTCCCCCGTGTCCTCTCTGTGCCAGGAGAATGCGATGTCCCCTGTGCCTTCAGCCACGGAACACACGAGGACCAGAGGCTCCCCTGCAAGCGCCTGGCCCCCCTGGGGCTGGGTCTCCAGGAGCACTCCGGATACTGGGACACCTGCATGGACAGGAGAGGGCAGGTGAGGGCATGTGTGGGGAGGGCAGGGCTGGCATGTTGGACCGGCTCACTTTCTATGCGACTAAGGTACACTCCAGCAGGTGCTAACATTGTAGCCCATGGACTGGAACATCACCAGATGTAATAATAGCTCCATCCTGACACATGAGGCCCTGGGAGAGAAAAATTGCCTACCCCTGAAGAAGCCTTTGAGTTTTGTCTGATGTCCTAAGTGGCAGTCTGAATTATCCACAGGGATAGGTGGCAGCGAGAGTGGCCACCGGGATGCTGGGCTGGACCACACCCATTTCCAGGAGTCCTGCTTTGGTACGAGACAAGATGATATTTACATATTTATCTTTATGTATGTGTCCTTCTCTGGTGCTTTGCACATGGCAGGCACTCCCATTATTTGTAGCTATTGATTAGGAAGACGCCGTGCTTATTTCCTTAGTGGTTTATCCCACGATCTGGCCATCTAGAATGTGTCAGCTCAGGGCACCTTGTTTTCTTATTTTTATTTGTTTCCCCTAACTCTCATATCTAACTTCATGAATGATCTCTCTCATTTCAAGGTACTAGAGTTCCAAAGGAATTTTGAGTTTTTAGAAAAATAGTGGTGGAAACAAGCCCTGCATTTCTTTTATTATAGTACCTGACTTCTCAGGGCCAGCCTGCCTCCATCAGGATGACAAAACACTGCACAGAGCCACAGGGAGCCATCGGGGAGGGTGTCACGGCCTCGGCTCTCCGCCAGCTCCCCACCACTCACCCTGCACGTGGACCTGCTGGGGAGGTTGCATTTGCGGATGCTGGGGACCCACTCACCCTGCACGTGAACCTGCAGTGGGGGGCTGTGTTTTTGGATGCTGGGGATCGCTGTAGCAGCCGTGCACCAATACGACCCCGAGTCTTCTCTCCAGATGGTTGTGATCTGCAGTTCTGGGGACCTGCTCCAGTCTGACAGCATGACCCCACGGTCTCTGAAGAAGGTGAAGTACAGCAGAGTGTCCGACCGCTCGAGAGGCAGCTGTGTTTGACAGCTCAGGTTTACAGAGCTGCCTTCCGTAGGCTGGGAGGGCGTGACTCGCAGCTTTGGATATGGAAATAGTTCTGGAGAGAAGAGGTAAACCGAGTTCTCAGAACACATAGGGCCCTGGAACAGGCAGGCTCGGCTTCTCCTTCCTAGAGAGCTTCGGACAGACCCCCAGTAAGACAGAGCCCCATCAGCCCCGCCATCCCATTACCCTCCCCTGGGTCCAAGTGGGACAACCCTGCCGTCTCTGCTGGACGACCCACGCCTCCCACTGTCCAGAGTTGGGACATGAACTTATGGATCCTCTGTCACACCCAGTTCCCTACCCTGACATCACTAAGCAAATCTATATGAAAGGGTTTACCTTGAATTTTAATAATTCTGGTACTTGACTTATATACGTAATGATCTCTCTCCAGAAATCCAATGCATTGGTAGTGGCCACTGTTGTTCAAACTTGCTTGTGGTATCAGAAGATCCTGGCCTTGATTAGAGACAGAGATAACTTTCCCATTCCAGCTGTATTTCGCAGTGATCAGTTTCTGTCTCCCCTTAACCTGGCATCTCAGGACCAGCGTGTCACCTTCAAACACGGTGTGTGGAGCCTGAAGGATGAGCCAGTCTGGAAAACACAGACAACAGAGCCTGTCACTGATGGCACCCTCTTCCTCCGTCAGCTTGGCTCACAACGCTTGACTGGTTTTCTTTTGTCTTCCACAGGATTTAGTCTCCTGCCCCAGGCTCACTCTTTCCTTCCAACTCCTTATGACCTGCTTCAGAGGCAATTCGTAAATCATAAATCCCAAACACACCAACTCGACACCTACGTGACATTCAGGACAGGTACACCGTATGAGGATTCTAACGCGGAGACGAAGAGCGCATGGGATGTAACAACACCCCAACATTGTTGAACATGGTTTAAGATCGCCACCAACCTGCTCCCCCTGTCTCCGAATGGGAGTCACTGCAGAGGGAACAGACTAGGAAGTGTCACCGGGTACCAGGGTTTGCTCTGCAGCAGACTTGTCATTGGATGCACACCCAGGGGCAAGGGACAGGGAATGGGGTCCCATGCAGACATCCTCTGGCTCTTCAAATTTGCATGAGCAGTCAGTTCTGACCCCTCTGAGGTGGCTGACGGACTGCCTCTCCCCCAGCGCAGGGCCATGCAGTGGTCAGAACCATTCTCTGTGAAGCAGGCACAGCAGGACAGGAAGACAGTGGGTGCCCCGAGGCAAGAAAGCAGGAGTAGAGAAAGGACCGGCACCAGGACAGGTGAGGACATGGGCCTGAGGTGGAGACTCCCCTCCTCTGAACTCTGGTCCAAGGCTACTTTTTGCACCTCCTGGCGCTCGGTGCATTCCTGTCTCTGTCGTTTATCCCCTGTGCCCCGGCAGGGGCTAAGACAGCTTCAGTTTTGAATCCCCTAAATGAACTCCTTCCTCCAATGGTAAATGTGCAGGGATGTCTGCTGATTAACATTAGATAATGAAACTCTAACGTCAACAGTAGTTGGAAAATTCCTGTAGACATGAAGGGCCCTAGGACATGAAGGTGGCAGAGGTCAAGGGTTAGAGCAGAAGGAAGAAGGACCTCAGGGGTCACCAGCTCCAGGGGGCTAGGATGCAATGAAACCACTCCTAAAGTTTAACTAATTCACTCTCTTGCTGCTCACCTGAAGAAAAGATCAACATCACAGAGTCACTTGGGGGCGAGTCCTTGGTCTGGCACCTGAACCTTCCAGAGTCACGGACCTTGAGGGTGTTTCCTGGGGTTTTATGTAGTAGATCCTTTCCGAGGTACGACAGGTGCCATGTTATGTACTCTGCTGCACGGAGGTGAGATACATGGCAAGTCAGAGTCACTGTCTCTCCTCTGAAGACGACGGTCCATGGAGGATGGAGGGAAATCACGGGTTTGGGTGCAGCTGCCGAGGAAAGAAGAGACAGAGTCTGAGATGAAGACCCCCATGGTCCCCACTGCAGTCATCTGTGTGGATCATACCCTAGGACCAGGCTTTGGAGAATCCCCCCAGGAAGCCCCTGGGAGGACTGCAGCTTCTCCAACTGTGCTCCTCTTTCCTGGGAGTGCAGTGGCTACCCTGTGATCTGTAAGAGCAGGCTGGCCTCAAGGGGACAACCCCAGCAGGACCTCAATCACTGTGGGAAGACAGTGACGCTGGCCTGGCCCTTGTAAGTCCCTCTGGACTCCCTCCTGCCCAGGGCTTGGTCACTGAAGGGATCCAGAAGACACCACCGTGGCCTAAGAAGTTATTTTGAGCTGAAAGCATTTCAGAATAGGTTTTATGTGTGTTTTTTATTCTGAACACCCTACCTGCCTGACAGCCGAGCCTCCCAAAAGAACCCGATTCTAAATTGCCTCCTCAGGAGCAGCCATGAAAGACTGATCCTTATCACCAGAGCCTCAACAGACATTGTCACAAACTAGCGGAACTACCATAGCCACCACCTGTTCTCCAAAGGGCCGGTTATCTTTCTTGAATATCACACCACCCCCACCCCTCCCCACTCTCCCACCACATCCTGGCTGTTGCTCTGCTCAGGTGACATCCCAGCCCCAAGTCCTAACCCCCTCCCTGGTTCCCAGTCTCTGCACACCCTTGTAAGAAGCCAATACACATCTTGCTCCCGCTAATCTATCTTTTGTCTGTTTAATTGATGGGCCCCAGTGATAAACTTGAGAAGAAGGAGGCGTTTCTCTTCTCTGCGACGTTACTGTTACTCGCTGTTGGAAACACCCTCCCGCACACCTTCCCGGGTGTTGCTGCTGGCAGCCCGCTGGAAGACTGGCATTTTGATGAGCTAACATGGTGCACAGCTGTGCAGGGAAACTGCCCTCTCGGATTTTGGTGGAGAGGCAGGAATTCAGGATGTGGGGAATAGTTAGTAGCCACAGGATCCGGTTCTCTGTAAGATGTCGGGGGACTAAAGCCAGGAGTGAGTGGGGGGGTGGAGGTGCTCAGGGAGGTTTCACCCCTGCAGTAAAAGAACAAGCAGGTGGAGGTGGGGGGTGGGGGTGGAGGCAGAGGGGAGAGTTGAGGGTAGGGTGAAGGGGGGGGTCTCTTAAAGTTTCATTTGCCTCCCTCCTCCCCAGCTTCCTGCTCTGAGCATTTAGGATGCTTGAAGCGTGGCAGCTACCTCATTTTAAAAAATCAGTATTCGATTCAATTTGTTCTGCAAATTGCCTGTGTAATCTAAATTCTGTGAAGCAGGAAAAAAAAAACAGATTATGTCTATTTGCATTATTTTATCTTTCAAAATGAAAATCTCAATTATGAGGGTACGGAATTTACCATAAAATTTTAAGCGGAATCCCTTTTATGGGGGAATACAGGGCTAGCTGAGGACAAGGCATGAGCCTGGGACAGCATATTGACAAGTCCTTGAAATAGGCAAAGGGACATTCCTCGACAGACTCCACTGCCTCGATGTTCATACTTTGCTGAGGACAAAAGGCAATCTTAGCCCGACCCCCAGAAGCCTGTAAGTCTACCTTAACATATAAAAATTCCTTTAGAAATTTCCTTTATCTCTACCCACCAAGATACATGTTGGCAATCATTCCCCAAGCACCTGACCCACCGATATCCATCTGTAGGGTCTCATGATTCAGGGTTTATTAGACGGTAATAAGTGACCTTTCCCAACAACAGCTAGCCCCTCGAGGTCCTGGAAACCTTGCTTCCAAAATTCCTCAGAGAGTAAGCTATCGCCAAACCCCTCCAACTCCCGGGTATATAATCAGCCACCCCTCACAGGCCCGGGGCAGCAGCTCTTCCTGCCCGCGACTTTAATAAAACCACCATTTTGCACCAAAGACGTCTCAAGAATTCTTTCTTGGTCGTTGGCTCCAGGCCTCACCTATATTCTAAAACTTCATCACCTTGAGGTGTGTTTTTTTCTTTGGTAACTTTAGCCTCAGATAAGGAGGACGATCTACCTTTAAGGACATACAAATGGTTCCTTTCTTAAGCCTGAGACTTTAAGTATTCCTACCTTTGTCTCAAGAATGTTGAAATCTTTCAGTTACACCCAAATGTAAAGGAAATATTCTCTCTGTGTTTGGGAGCAAAAATTGTAGAATAACCTGAACACTAGTTTTAGAGGAAGCAGCTCAATGTTCTGTTTGGTAATGCAAACCTTCAGGTGTTTCTGCAGACTTTTTCTTTCTCTTTAGAGGATTCTACAGAATATTGTTTTCCCAGTGAGCAGGGAGTCGTGTTTCTCCTGGAGAGACTAGAAATCTCCGCTGTCTGTGTTCCTGGGAAGCATCTGGGCTAGGACGTGGGGACTGGGCAGCAGGTCTCACCTCCAGGGCAGGAGAAACCTTCTGCTGTTGTGCGCAGCCAGATTCCTCACTGGCCCCCAGAACTGCCCTTGCTGTGTGTTGGGAGAAGGCCCAGATCTTGTCGGGGCCTCATGAGGCTGCTACTGAGCTAGAAAGCTCTCAGCTTAACCACATCTAGCACCTGATCTAAGACACTTTCTGTAATTTATTTCTCCATCCTAGAGCATTTAGCAAAGTCTTGTCAAGTTGTAACCTCTTCCCTGTTCGGCAGGGATTTGTGGGAGATGGACTGTGTCCACAGCCCCAAGCTGCAGGGGACAGTGTGAAGCTCTGCTGGCTGGGGCCTGATGATAGCCAGCAGCCCCAGGATGAACCCAGTGGCCTTGAAGGGATTTTCAGGGATTACCAGAACACCTGGAGACAGCTCCCAGAAAAGACTGGCCTTTTTGCTGACCAGCATGGTGGGGGCTCAGAGGCATCGTGACTTGAGCTATTCACAGAAAAATGTCTACACACGCATGTAGGAGTTTGGGGTGGAGCGGTTCCCCTAGGATGTGACCGTGCTGTGTTGGGCTGGAAAGGTGGAGAAGCAGAGCTATTTGCACTCCAACCCTCCACTCCCTCTGGGGTCTCAGCCTAATTCTAGCCTCCCTCCAGGATCTCCCGCATCAGATGGGGCACACTCCTCTTTGGCCTCCGTGACATGCATCCCAGGCCCCTCAGGTTCACTGGACATGAGACAGGTTTGGCCCAAAAGTGTGACTCCCCAGCTCCTAGGTCAGGGTCATAGGATGGAGTGATGCTGCCCTGCCTGAAGTCCTCAGGACAAGGATGTGGGGACCAGACCTCCTCTGACAAGCATTCCACACAGAGGATGGTCACTAGAATATCTAGAAACATTAAAGAGAAAAGAAAGAGGGGACCTACTTACCAAGTTGTCCACTGACTGGAGCTGTAAGAGAGGTGAGGGCCAAGGTCAGCACGAGGCATGGGGCCGAGCCCTCCCACCCAGAGAGCCCACCACCCTCCCCACTGCATCTGAGGGCAGGAGAGGAGAGCCCAGCTCCACCACCCAGAGAAACCAGGAGCCACAGAGGTCTGAAGCTGAGCAGGGCAACACTGTCTACCTGTGGAAAGCTCTCAAGCTCCCCTTTTCTCATCTGTCACACGGGGACTGTAAAGGTGAGCTCATAGTTCTATTTCAATGAGTTGAATTAGTAAGTCTTCCATCAATGGCCACTGTCACTATTTGTTAGACATGACCATGCTGTGGCTGCTGCTCAGACTTGGCTTTACTGTCTCTTTGGCTAGAACAGTAGTCTCCTTCAGTACCAAGAACAGTCAAATCACACCCAAGCCCTGACACCCAGATGAAAGCTACCTCCTCCATGAAGCCCTAATGGATGCCTCTGGGCTGCAGTGCCCTGACTCTACTCTAGGCTCAGAACATAGCAATGACAGCTCACTGGGACTGGAAGTCAGACATGCAGTATGGGGCAGTGGCTAATAGCACAGTTCCAATGTCAGGGGGATAGCCTTGTACACTGACTCTGCCATTGCACAGAGCTAAAGGCAAGAGACTGTCTCTTGTGCCTTGGCTCCCTTGCCTGGAAAGTGAGACTTGTAGCAGTTCCAGCTCATTGATTGTTAGAAGATTGGATAGATGAATACATGGAGTATTCTTAGAAGTGTCTGGCATAGTCAGGGCTCAACAATTAATTATAATTCCTATTAACAAGAGTTAATAGTAATCACACATTATCTTATGACTCACTGTATAATATTTTTGTGTGTTTTCAAGTCAAATGGTCTTGCATTTGTATCTTGATTTCCTCATCAGATGGTCAGCTCTTGGGGGCAGAGACTGTGTCTTCCATGACCCTGTGCTCTCCTGCTGCCCAGCACTGTGCTATGCCCAGTGTCCCCTTTCATTCACTTTTTACCAAGTTCTCACGATATGCCAGCCACACTAATAACTCTTCCTTTAGTTAGGGTCTGGACATGTAGCTGGGAATAAGACAAACATGCTTAATAAAAATTTAATGTGCAAACGACTGACTACAAGTGACTGGTCTTTATTTCCCTAGCTTGTACTACTAGGAAATCAGTGCCTCACTTGAACAAATATTGAAAACTAGGACAGAAGCAGGGGGAAATAATCCAAGGGAAATCAACTTATTTCTTCTCTCATGCTTTTTGCAATTATCAGAACAAGCATGATCATAGGGTACAGAGAAGGAAATAAACATTCTCAGCAGAAGCTCATTTCTACATCAGTTCACAATTAGGACATGTTCCCTTCCCACGGACTCAGTTCATCTTTTACCCTGGGTCTTGATGATCTGTGATTAGGGAGGTAACTGAATCGAATTATAGTTTTTTTTTTAAGATTTTATTTTTAAGTAATCTCTACAGCCAACGTGGAGCTCATACTCACAGCCCTGAGGCGAAGAGTCAAGTGCTCTACCGACTGAGCCAGCCCGGCGACCCCTAACATGGAAAATTAAGCCCATTTCTAGAAGAGGAGGAATCTTTTGTAGGCAATTAAAAGTAAGTGATGAATGCACTTTTGGAAATCAACCCCCTCCCCATACCATTCATTCAGTCAATATCTTCCCCTTTGTTCATTCTCTGTGGCTCTGAAATAGGAGCATAATCCATTTGTTCCACAGCCCAGAGGGGAAGCTTTGCTCATGGGGAGACTCTGACTCCTTCTTGAGCAGAGGCTTCCCATCCACCACTTACCAAGGACCAGCAAGGATGCCCACAGGAGCATGGGAGCGTGCTCCGGGATCCTGACGAGCAGCAGCTCCCACACGGCCAGTCCCAGTGTGAGTGCAGCAAGGTGCTTCTGAGAACAGCTGGCTGCAGTAATGAAGTGAAAGGGGGAAGTAGAGGAATCTTTCTTAAAATACCAGCATGTTACCCAGTATGAGAGACTCCTAATGACAAAAGTCACTTTTAACAGAATGCCTTAAGTACTGCTCTAACTTCTTGATATGAAAAGCTCCCCAGAGCTTTAGTTGTCATATTTTCAGAAACTTCCAGCCACTGTCTTCCAAGGAAAATGCAACACATTCTCTCTGCTACCAGACACCAGGCAAGATTACAATCCTGTAGATTCATGCAATCCGAGGATGTACCTGAATCACTCCAGAGCTGGACAAGTTCTCCTTGAATGCAGAGATGCACTCCTCTGATATCTGAGGCTTCTGCTGGGCCACTTCCAGTTGACCATCCACATATGATGGAGTATCTGAATCATAAGACAACTCATAGACTATGTAGCACATATGAAAGTATCTTGACTCATTTGTCTTAGAGGAAGCTATACACTTTGACTTGATTAGGAGGTAGACTGAAAAATAAAGTATAGCTCCATCTCACTCTTCCTGGAGAATGGACTATAAAATTTTTAACTTAGAGCTCTAGAATTTAAAATTTGTTACAGGAATGTCTTGACAAATACATATGGATTCTATAATCGTATGTTATGCAGGGGATGAGGTGCTAGGAGAACAGTGGTAAGCAAGACTCAGTAAGCTTTCATTCTAGTGGGGCAGGCAGAAGGACCAACGGGGAGTTGAATATAGAGAGGAAAGTGCTTTGATAGTCCAACAGGAGGGAAATCTAACCCAGGAGAAGTAGGAGAGGTTTTTCAGTGGAAGTGACACCCAAGTTGAGAAGGCATCATTCTGGGCCTGAGTGATGAGCATGGACAAGGGTGGAAGGCGATCACGATCACCATCATTCTCACCCTCAAGATATCCATGAGTGAATGACCCTTGATTTTTCCATGAATGGAAGACATCAGACAGAGGATGAATTATTAGTGGTCTGTATTGCTCTAATATAATGATATGTTTCTATGCACCTAAATAAAACTGCTTCTTTCTCTAATGAGGGCTTGTATTTGAACATTAATTATATTCCAAACAACGTCCAGGACCTTAGAAGCATAAGAAGATGGAAAAATATACATATATATTTCTTTCAAAGACTTATAAAATGTGGTAAGAGCCACATAGACACACAGCACTGTGGGGACATAAAGGATGTCAAAGTGGTGTTCAGTCCTTCGTCACCTAGACCTCTGACCTCTGTGCCCTGTCTCAGCTGCCTTCATTTGTCTCAGGAGGGCTGAGATGAGATGAACCTGGATTCAAATCCTGACTCTGCCTCTTACCAGTCATGTGACCTTGGTCAAATACTTAGCCTCCTCAGGCTTCAGTGTCAGTACTGATACAAAGGAGGTCAAAAATAATATCCACTTATGGGGGGGGTATTGATAGCAACATGTGTATGAATGCAATGATGTGGAAGCTCGTGGCCCAGTGCTCAGAACAATGTGAATATTCAATATCACTACTGCTATTCTAGGTCCATGAACTGGAAAACACTTCATGATTGATAGTTTTCACCGACAAGAGTAGTTTACATAAGTGGAGAAGTCGAATATTACTGAGTGACTAGGGCTTGAGGGGAAGTTGAAGTCCTATTTTCTGTTCTCCTGCTTCTGCCATCAATTTTGTTGAATGAGTGAACTTCAAATAGCAAATAAAATTTTACATTTATGACATAAGATGTCCAAACACACAAGCTATGTTTGCAACCACTGTCTAAAAGCTTAAATATTTTAAACAAATCAGGTGCTATTTTTAATTGCTGTGTTTGAGTCACTGAGATGAATGCCTCAGTTATGAGTACCAAAACTGAGGTTTCATTTCGAAACATCAGCCATGATTGCATATACCACAATTTACTAGGCAATGGCTTGATTCATCGGGGATGACATTTAGATTTTATATTAATGGAGGATAGTAAAAGTTGTATTCAGTGACTGTGAGGAACTGTGAAAATCCTGATCTTTTTCATATGCTAGAAAAAGCATCTAAAGTTCTACATTTTAAGAATAAACTTTAAATTTTGGAATAAGTTTAGACTCACAGAAGAGTTGCAAAAACAGTAGAGAAAGTGGCCACATATCCCTCAGTCCGTTTGAGTTTCCCTGAACATTGTCATCTCACACTATCGTGGTGCATTTGTCAATACTAAGAAACCAGGATTGGTACATTAGTATTAGCTCTACTCTTTATTCAGATTTCACCAATTTCTCCAGTAATATACCTTTCCTCTTTCAATATCCAATCCAAAATATCACATTACCTTTGTTTACATCTCCTTAAGCTCCTCTGGTCTGTGACAGTTTCTCAGTCTTTCTGAGTTTTTTGTGACCGTGATGATATTGAGGAATATTGGTCAAATATCTGGTAATGTCCTCTATCTGGATTTGTCTGGTGTTTTTCTCATGAAAACATGAGGCTAAGATTATGGGCTTTCAGAAAGAATGCCATAGAAGTTGAGTGTACTCCTTGTCACATCCCATCAGGGAATACATGATGGCAACATGAGTATTACAGATGGTGTTCATCTTGATCACTTGGTTTTGATGGTGTTCACAAGGTTTTCAACATGAAGATACTGTCCATCTGCACTGTTGGTTGTTTGGAGATAAGCCAGTAGGTCCAGTCCTTCTGGCAGGTGGGACGAGGAAGCCATTAAGTTCCAGCTCTGTAAAGAAGACTTGTCTCTTCTCCTTCATTTATTTATTAGTTTGTGTGTGTATTCATTCATTCATTCATTCAATAAATCAATCATTTGTTTATACCACCACAGATTCATGTATATTTATTTTGTACTTTGGGTGATAATCCGATGCTACCTTATTTACTTCATTGCTCAAAATGTTTCAGTTTTGGCATTGGAGGATCTTTCAGATTAGCTCCTGTGTCCCTTTGAATTGCCCTCATCCTTTTGCTTTTTCTGAGCACTTCTGGACTTTCTGGCACTACAAGATACTCTAGGTTGTCTTGTCATCTCCTGCTCCAGCTCTAGAATCAGCCACTCCTCCAAGGATCCCTGGTCTTTTTCTGAGGAAAATGGCATTTAGAAACTGAGATCTGGGTGCTGGGTATGTTCCTCATTACTGGGGGAAAACTATGCATTTTTAAGTACAGAACAGGGAATCTGTCATCTTGAGTATACTTTATGAGTGGAAAATTACTGAAAAGATAAATTTGTTATAACTCTTGTTATTGATAACCTCTCCTCCCAAACCAGCAGGTATGGTTTCTGTAATCATTGTCCCGAGGCTGACTTGCTAGTGATGGAGGAGTAAATCCTTAGAATCATCAACTTTGACCCTCAGAGAAAAGGTAGCAAGTCCACTCAGTTACACTTTTGTGGAGGCTAGTGTTATCTGGAAGACTTCTTTCACTTTCCTTACACACAGATAGGGATAGTTCTAATCTCCAAGGCAAAAGATGATCCTCTTTGGTATTAGAAAATTTTCCAAGATGGTTGCTGGTTCTAAGTGTAGACTCCTCCATATTCATGAACATACAGATCTTTTTCTTCAAAAACTGAGCCAAATGAGGGACATCTGGGTGGCTCAGTCAGTTAAGTGTCCAACTCTTGGTTTTGGCTCAGGTCATGATCTCAGGGTTGTGAGATCAAGCCCCATATCAGGATCCATGCTCACCTTAGAGTCTGCTTAAGACTCTCCTTCTCCCTCTGCCCCTCGCCCCAACATGCACATGCATGCACATGCTCTTTCTCTCTCTCAAATAAATAAATAAATCCTAAAAAAAAAATAAACAAACCAAAAACTGGGCCAAGTGAGAACTGAATCATAGCTCTTTAGTGCCCTGCATTCCAGACTCACGACAACCCACATATATGTGTTGGAAGATGTGGAACAAACACTGGATTTGCAGCCTAAGGCCTGGCTGTGGGTTTGCTCTGCCACTTGCAAGTCATACAGGTTAAAGTAAATCCCCTTTGCTACTTTGATATTTATTTATTTTTTAATTAACAAAACAATAATTTTTTCCTACGTTAAATTTTTTTTTAACTTTTAGAAAAATTGCAAGAATAATGCAACAAATACCAGTGTGTTCTTTACCTAGATTCATCAATTGTCAATATTTTGATTTGCTTATTTTTTTTCTGAGGGATGGCCAAGACAACACTGTTTTCAGGATATGTAAGAAGCTTGTGTCTGCAGGTGGGCTTGTCCACATGTACTATGCTGTGGGATGGAGCCGGCCATGAGGAGAGAAGGAGGACCCTGCAGGCTTGGGGCCAGTGACCAGAAGCTTACCTTCCTTACACTGCTATGTTCTGTAGGGAATCCTAAGGATGCAAGAATTTTCCATTTGAACCTAGACTACCAGGTCAAAATAAAGCTTTATTTGTCAAGGCAGAAGGATAAAGTTTATTTTATTAGTTTACTAGATTGAGCTGTAACTTTTAAACCTCCAGAAGTATACTGTGAAGGGTTCCATTTGTACCATAGTCCTGGGCGAGATGTGGGCAGGGGGTGGGGAGGCAACACTTAACACTTATTCGAAGGGGAAGAGGCATAATGCTTTCCACTGATTTCACTTATATGTAGTGTGAGGATTAGAATGAGTCACCCCAAGATGTGCCAATTTGATGTGCAGATTATTTCGAGCTGAAAACAGTTAAGGCCCAACAGACTCAAAGATATTTTGACCTCCCACCTTTTACTGCCTAAAAGAATTTGGACAGAGGATCTGCTCCAGGAAGGGAGCTCTCACCATAGATAACTACAGTATAATATGAACTAGGGGTGGCCAACAGAAAGAACTTATCAATGTCTGTTGTGAGAATTCCTCACTGTGTTCCATTGTTGCTGTATGGCCCAGCAGACATTTGTTTACTGAACATTTACTTTTTTCCATCTTCCTATGCATTGCTTTCCTTCCCTCTGGT